GAACTGCAAGGTGTCCGATTAGAGCGCTGCGGGTCAGAAATAGACGCACACAGCTGGGACAGGCGCTGACCTCCGCCTGGGGTTCTATCAGCTAAATGTTTCCTTCTTTAAAGCGCCGAGTCGTTAGTGTGAGCAGCTGAAAACAGCCAGCAGCAATAAATGGCCAGATAAAAGCCCTGAACTCGGCCAGCAGCAGCTGCTTGTTTGATCTGCACAAAGATTAACACCAAGAGCAAAAACGGGCTCTGATTTTCCTACGCTTTTAGCCTTTGTTACTGTTGCTTTTGGCCATGATGTTTTCAAACCAACCTACTTTATTCAGCTTCCACTAGCAAACAGAACCAGAATGCAAACTTCCATAGTTGGCTGTATCATTATGGACAGAGGAAAAATGTAATCTTTCATTCACTCGTTTCTCATCATTAGGCCCAAAGGTTTCAAGGTTAATGTTGCTAACTAAGCTGTTCTGGCCTGAGGAAAACAAAAAGCCTAAATCCTGATAACGCTGTACTCGAGTTTTGAAAACGGGTTAAGCTTCTTGTACTGAAATCCAGCGTCCATTTTCCCTAATTTACGATTCTGATTTTTTCCTCCTGAAAAGATTTTAGAGGGCATCATAGAAACAAAACTCATCTTCTGTCATAAGCCTTAATAAACAGAAAAGAGGCCGTCCTTTTCCCTTTAGAATCCCTTTATTTTTCATATTTTCTGGGTGGTAAAACAGTAAAGATGTTTAAGGAGCTTAAAGGCTTTCACTCTGATCTTTATAGGTTTAAGAACAATCTGACTTTCTTCTATTTGTGCACAGCATGACTTTGGATGAGAATACAAAGTCCTGGACTGATGTTTGTACTGAATCTTAAGACTCGAGTCACCTTAAATAAAAAAGGACTCACACACACACACACGCCTGATCTTCATGGTTTTGATAGCAAAATTTCAGAATAAATTTTGATCTTAAAGCTTCATGACAAAACGAGTAAACATACTGGGTGGTATTCAACCTGTAAGACTTATGTAAATCAAGTAAACATCTTACAATGTTTTAAGATGTTTCTAGAGAAGAAATATTCTGAAAATAAGCTCCTGTCTCTGCATCTTGATGCTCGGTGTTATCCCGTCTCTCATAGTGAGGCTATAGAAAAACAACAAAAAAACATTTTGATGTTTTGCAGCCAACTAATTAATGAAACAATTAATCAGTTACCTTACTAAACATGTAAAGCATATCTTACATCTTCAATCAAAAATCTGAAAACTCTTTAGCTTTGTTATGGTCAAACTATGTTATTTTGCCCATTTTACTTACATTTCCAACACGAAATTTCTCATTTTTTACACTTAATTCCTTGCCTAAAAAAATTTTATACTTGTTTTTCATATTATTTTAGTAATAAGGTAAAAATAAATGATCAGTTTCATAAATAATTTATTCAGAGCAGCGCCAAGCATTAATGTGAGCACGCTTTAAAATGAACAATTATTCTATTTTAAAGTCGGTAAAAGTTTGATTTATTATTTTACATGCAAGGTAAACTTCCCTGCCCATTTTTTCAGTCTGTACTATAGTTTTAGTCTGAAATAAATCCCCCTTGCTCTTTCATTGGATTTATTTTAAAGAACCAACAGCATGTATTAGATTCTGAAATTCACCTTTTAAAAAGGGGGAATTACTTAGAGCATGAATGCAGGTCTTATACTATTGTAACTCACAGCGGGAATTTCCCACAATATAAAAAACAGATTTGCAGGAATCGATTATATGATGTATGAAACTCTGAACCCCGCAGTAAATTTCAGGCCCTGATTAGTTCATGTGTTCAGCTACCATCATTTATTAAAAACAAAAACAAACAAACAAAAAAACCCCACCTAATTTGATAGTTTAATACGTGCCGTTTTTTATTCACCAGGAAACGTTAGCATCCATCATTTTTAAATACTGTACCTTTTACCCTAAATCTATCATCTCAGCATCATTTGAAGATTTCATTTATTTAAAAGCACCACAACATGTACATTTTGGGAATGTAAACTTTATGAAAAGATGAAGACGGTGTGGTTCCCGAACAATTTCATGTAAAAACTGCAAACCCTTCAAGACTCGACTAGACTTATCCATTCTTTACCAAAATTTAAGAATATTGAAAAGTTAGGTTTGTAGGAGCAACCTGCTTCCAGATTACCTCAGATTAAGAAGATGACAATGGATGGAAACAGTAAATTCAGCATAAATTTAAGGCAGATGAGACATGAGACAGGCTATAAACACAAGAAGGACGAACCTCTGTAGAAACATTTTCCTTAAGACATATTTTATAGAGCATTGCAAAGGCATCATTTTAACTACTTCCTCAGTTTAAACATTGTATTCGAACAGGACTACCCACCATAAAACTGAGCCAGGTGTAGTTAGCCATCATTTTCAATAGTTGCCAACCGTTCACAGTAAGGGTACACTTATATTTTCTTCAAATATTTAGAACATTGAAGAGTTTTACGTCTTGTATTTTGAAGTTCAGTCAGTAAAACAAATGGCGTTAAGTTGTTTCTGACACAAAGCTAAGTGATCCGAGTCTTTATTCGATTGATTATTCGAGTGTTGCTGCTTCGCGTTGTGTGCGATTCAGCTGAGCATTTGAACAATACGGAGATCATAATGTTTAGTCGCGTTAAATCACATCAGCAGCATGCCTACAGCTCGTTTCTTTCGGTTGGTAAAGGCTAATCACAGTCGGTCGAGAGTTTCACCCCCCCACCCCCCAACGGTTGGAAACGCAGAAGCTAACGGTCGCTTCGTGTCTCCCCAACGGTCGAAGAGTTTCCAACAAGTGGCTGAACAAAACCGACTAAAACGTTTCGTTTGTTTTCGTTCAACATGTTTGGTTCGTGCAGTGATTTTGTTTTTAACCCCTTCCGACTTTCTGTCATTGGCCTCGGTAGCCGCTTTGAGCCCCATTGTTGCTCCTTTATTCCAGACCCCATTACTCATCCAGCCACTCACCCAGAAAATGAGGCTGTAAGAAATGAGGAAAGTCTTCAGGCAGGTGATCACTGGCTTCGTCTGAAGCCGCCGAGAAGGAGGCGACATGCTGGAGTTTAGGTTCACAGCTGGAAAATAAGAGATACAAAAAAAGTTTCCCTTTCTGCTTCCCGACGCCGAGATTGTGGGGAAAACTTTAAAGATTCACCAAGAGGGGGGAAGTGTCGTCACTAACCCAAGAATCACTTTCCTGAAGGGACAAACGGCTTCTCCTACGTCAAGGTAGCAGTAGCCACCCTTTAAACGCCTCAAACAGGAAGTAGCTAACAAAATAAAAGCACTGAACAAAGGAGGATTTTTAAGGAAAGCTTGTTGAAAATCCTATTGATCCTTATAAAAATATAGCATCATTTGGATTTTTAAAGTAAATATATTACTTTATTATATATTATTATTATATTATTTATATATTATTTTAAAGTAAAATAAAATAAAAATGTTTGTTACACATTGTGCTATTTTTTGCACATTCTTTGGTTTGTTTGATATTTTTATTTATTTGATTATTTCAAATAACTGCACAGTATTTCTTAACTTTTACTTTTGTACAGATTATTATTATAACTACGTTTGTTGTTAATGTTAATCTTGTTCATTATATATTTTTTAACCGTTTAAGAACTTGTTTTAATATCTAGTACTTTTACACCAGAATTTCCTTGTTGCGAGACAATAAAGTCTGTTTCAATTCCATTCTTTTATTCTAAATTTCAAGTATTATGTTGTGCTTATTTATTATTAAGACGGACTAGAAATGTTACAGAATACGTTCGCCAGAAAGCTGAAGAAGCTGACTGTGTGTAGAGATCTGTATCCAAGCATATTATTTCAAAGTCTAGTGAAAGGAAAAGTGTGGTAGAAAATTTGTACAAAAGCAAAAACAGTAGCAATAGCCTATTAAATTATTTTAAGGTAAATCCCATCATCAGCATCATCCAATTGTCTCAAACAAACAAACAAACAAACAAACAAACAAACAAACAAACAATTAAATTATTTTAAAAGGATAAAATATTTAATCTCAGCTGTCCAAGACACTGGATTTTTACTAGGCTTTTCCATTTTTCTCCAAAGATGCAGTCTATATGTTGTCAAAGCTTTTCGGGGCCAAATGATACTTTTTACAGTTTTTATTTTGTCAAAGATGTATAAATGTATTAAACTGAAAAAGAATAAATAAATAAATAAACTAAAAAAAAGTTTACAACTTTGTAAACATTTTTTTTTCAGTTGCACATCCTTTTTTTCAATTTCAGTTTATTTTTCTTTTGAACAAACTTTATGACCTAATTGAGAAGATAATATTTATTTTTGGGAATTTGGAAATGCTTCCAAAACAAAAATGCTAATCTGCATATTTTTTTAACGTCTTCTTAGTCGTGTGCTTTTATTCTGACAGTAGCAGCACCGTTTCCTGTATGACGAAGCTCGCCTTGACGTCTGTGCTGCGGTGAAGTGACCCACGTAAATAAAATTATTACAACGTGGCACTCAGTGAAACACGGCCTTTAAAATTAGCGGTTTTACTTTATAAACATTTTTATTTAGACCAGTTTCATAGCTGCTAAATTAAGCTACAGTATTATCTAGCAGGATGTTTACAAATTAAACAATATCTAAAATCACAACAATATGTTTCAGGAGTAGCTGATTATTATTTGATTTAATTAGTGTCTACTATTTTCAGATTTAATGCTTGAATTAGTTGTGAGCAAATTTAAAAAAGCTACGTAGTTGTTAAAAAATTAACTCCAGCAAAGTGTACAAGTCGCATTAATATAAATGTTAAAGAAAAAAATCACTATTGAAGCTCACGGGTTAATGTGTTGGTGTATTTTAATCCTCTCTATGGAGTTTGTGGGGTTAATTGCTCGATTCATCATGTTTAATGCAGCAGAGGGGAGGAAACGTGCATGCATTGAAGCCCGAGGGCGCCACCTACTGGCGTTACCTTCTCACTTTACTTACTGAAAAACTTTTCCTCTTCAGGAGCCTCTTTTTTGTCCTCATCGGGGTTCAGGCGAACTCAAGATTTTTAAGGCTCTTTACCAAACAACTTTGGAAACTTTTCTAGATTTCACTTTGATAATTTCTTGTAAAATCTCCTTGAGCAAAACAAAACAATCGTTTTTATTCTCCGCCTGCAGAGGAATCGTTGTTACTACCATGCCAACCAACCGATGTGTTGCTGCTGCTGCTGCGTTCATCTTATTCTTCTTCTCAGGTGATTCCAGAAACTACAAAACATTTCATAGCAGATTTATAACTTTTATATAATTGCAAAATTAATGCAAGAACATTTTCAGGACACTTAATGACAAAACAATCGTTACTTTACTTGTATAAAAATCTAGTTTATTGCTTAAGTGATTTTTAAAATACACAAATGCTGCGTTAGGCTAAAGATGAGTGTTGAACCTCAAATTACTACCCTATTGCCCGATTTTACTACAAGAATGTGTAACTTTTTTCAAGAAAAAGAAATCAGAAAATATTTTATAAATAAATATATATATTTATATCCATCCATTTTCTGAACACCCTTGTCCCTCAGTGGGGTCGGGAGGGGTGCTGGTGCCTATCTCCAGCTAACGTTCCGGGCGAGAGGCGGGGTACATCCTGGACAGGTCGCCAGTCTGTCGCAGGGCAACACAGACACACAACCATGCGCACACACACACACACACCTAGGGTCAATTTAGACAGACCAATTAACCTAACAGTCATGTTTTTTGGACTGTGGGAGGAAACCGGAGTACCCGGAGAAAACCCACGCATGCACAGGGAGAACTGCATGGAGTTTCTGCAAACTCCATGCAGAAAGACCGGGGCTGGGAATCGAACCCAGAACCTTCTTGCTGCACGGCAACAGCTCTACCAACTGTGCCACTGTGCAGCCCTTTATATTTATATATATATATTTAATTGCTTGTCGCATGAGATTACAGAGAGCAAAACGACATAAAACAAGACAAAACCAGAAGGAAACAAAAGAAATATTACAGTTAGTAATCAATTACTTGCAAATAACTTAGAGTAATTAAACTGACAATAATGCATGACATCATATGGCTCTCATTTACCTTATAATAAAATTAGGTGCATTGACATTTAGTTTGTAAAAGTCTTTAAAGTGTCTTCAGTGTGTTTAAATATACGGTTTAATGCTGTATGTAGGATTTCTGGAGGTAATTACAGCAGCTCATCTTTCGCCTCTTGCTACTGCAGCAGGAAAACGCCTTCATCTCAGCAGAAACAACATTTGTATTAGACGCAGATGTGCTGACTGCACAGTGAGCCCATCTTCCTTGCAGGAATGAGAAGCTGCTCCTCAGCGTCCCCCAGCATGCAACTGGCCAGGCTCCAGTCAGGATGAATTAAACATTAACCCATCAAACTCACATTTAGACTCAAGCTTCTCTATTCCATAGATAAAATCTTTACTGGCTTTACAGCATTTGTTTTTGTTTCCATTGGTATGTTGATTTGTCTTTGAGGTTGGAAGGCCTCCTCGCCATCACCCTAATCCACTGATTGTCCATTCGATTCAAAGAGGGATACTTTTAGGGCTTCAAAATAAAATCTTTAATTTCTTTCATACCAGATTTTATTTCTGATTTTAATATTTTTTTTCTTGCTTTATTTTCAAAAAAAAAAGAAATTAAAGTTTATTTTCAGAAAGTTGTTTTTATTTCTATCATCTCTTCTGAGAGTTGAATCCATGTATGTATTAGCTTATGAGAATAGAATATAGACACAACTTTACCAGGAGAACGTCTTGAAATTACAAGAAAAAAAGTCATTTTAATGTTTTTTTTTTGTAGAAAAACAAAGCAATGTTTCCAAAAGTTAGCAAGAAAAAAAAAATCTTCACATTTTGCATTATTTTGTACTTCCATTTGGGTTTGTACTGCTTCTAAAAACAGCCAAAGGACTTAAAAAACACTCAGATGTTTTTAGGCAATACGTTAATGTTTTTTTGGTGTCTGTAAAATGAGTCATTTCAAAAACCTTCTTAATGTAACGTCACAAATCAGCAGGCACTGCCCAGTTACCTAGCAACGAAGCTAAGCCCAATACCTAGCCACCCAAGTGGAGCTCCAGCACCTTTGGTCAGCTGGTTTTACCGCTGCATGTTCTGTACAATGGCTGCTGGAAAAGACAAGTGTTTTGATGCGCAGGAAGCTCCACTTCTGCTTTTCAAAGATGTATGGTTGTATAATTGTGCATCTGTTTGCAGCCATTTTCTTGTGAAAGTGTAAACGTTGAGTTGGGGGGCGTGGCCAGCAAGACGTCCTAAATCAGCTTCTTATGAGAGGAGATCAAAATAAACAGAACTGACCAGAATAAAATCTCTTAACTAAAAATTATTTTCTGGGGGTCAAAATGTAATGAACATGAATTGTGGACCTACCCTAACCTGTTCAAGGAAGCATAATAGGTCACTTTTGAAAATCAGAATTTTCCTGCCAATTGCCTCTTGTTTTATCAGGTTAAGCTGTAGTTAAACTTCGCTCTCTCATCCTCAGGTGCTACTCTGTACTCACTGGACAGGTGGTTTAATTACAGCTCTGCTCCAGTCACTACCAGTTAATTACTGAGGTGCTCCCCCTACCATCTCCCTCAGTGGGGCTTCATTTAATCCAGCAAGATAACAGCCACACCTAAAAACTGCCCAGGAGCACACAGGGACTCAGACGATTGAAAGGACACTGGTCGTTTCTCTTTGTCACTAGAGAGGAAGTGGACTCACAGTGCCACTGTTTGAGTATTCTGCACCATTTGATCCGTGAGGCGCCAGAGCCAGAGTCAGGGCAGTTATAAAGGTAAAGCTTCCTTGAACAGGTTAGGACAGGTTTATGAGCGATACTAAACATTTTCATGGCATTTTATGCACAAAATGATTAGATTAAGAGATTTTAGTTCTGTTTATTTAGAGCTCCGTTCAGAATGAGCTGTTTTAGGGTCTCTGTCACTTAAAATCCAATTAAGCTGCTGCTGGCCATGCTCCCAAGCTCAACTTTTACACTCCGATGTGAATTTGGCTGCAAGCAGATTAACAATTATACATACATCTGTGAAAAGCATTAGCAGAGCCGCCTGCACAACCACAAGAAAACTGCAAGTGGTTTCTGAATGGTAAGATCAAAATCAAGTTTATTTATATAGCATGTTTCCAACAGCACACTCTGCTTTACAAGGAAAAACAAAACACTAAAAGTAATTAAAAGGTAAAGGAGTCAAAAACCAAACATTACACAGAGAAGGACTTAATAGGCTGTTAGACTAACAAAAGGCTACATTCACACTGCAGCCTGAAGTAACCCAAATCCGATTTTTAATTATTTTACCTTAATGCAACATGTATCTCAGATTATTATTACAGTCTGAACAACACAGATTGGATTTTTACACTTGCTTCCCACGCCACTTGGATATGTGTTCCTAATACAATATGATTTTTTTCGAACGTGACCTGTGAGGCTCGGTGGCATTCAACCCATAGACATAATATAATATATTATTATATATAATATAATATATTATGTCTATGATTCAACCGACCTGAACGTCATTATTCTGCGTCCTGATACGCGCAGCCAGGAAGAAAAACAACAGCCATGGCGGACGGTAATGAGGGTTAAGTCATGTGCTAGCTGCTATTGGATAAACATTTTAAAATCAAGGTACGCTCCACCGTTAGCATCTAGCGTTTACTTCCGCAAACACTGAACATGCTCGCTTCATGTGACGTTAGTCAGCATACAGAACACTTTTAGGTTATTTAGGGTTCACATTAGGAGATCACATAAAAGTCACATATAATTGGAAACGCAAATAACCACGCGAAAAAAGTGGATTTCACAAAAACTAGCTGACCAAACATACTCCGCTTGGGTTGCTAGGTAACGAAACTAGCTCGGCTGACGTTGCTAGGTAACAGCGCAGTGTCCGTTGAATGTGACATTACATTCCTGAGGTTTTTGAAACGGGTTGTTTTCCAGATTCTTAAAACAATTAACTAATATATTGCTAAAACGGCTGGGTGTATTTTTAGCGCTTTTTAGAAGCAATTGAGACCCAAATGGAAGTATAAAATGTGAATTAAAGGACGTGCCGTTTGAATGCCCTAACGCTTTAAGTCTGCTGCCTCTTGAACCTTGCATAGTATCAGATGAGCTGAGTGTTTATTTCCTGTGTGACTAATGCTCTGGGAGAAAGAGGGGGCTACATTAGCCTGGGGGAAAGAGAGGAACACAGAGCTCATTATGAGGAAAAATGCTGATGACAGCTTTAATCTAAAAGTCTTCTGGTTTTAGAAACAATCTGCCGGCTGGATGTGAGGCATCCTTATTAAGAGAACATGTTGTTGAAGCGACCTTTCAGTTGGAGAAAGGAAGTGGAGCAGGAATGAGGCCTGAGACAGGGGGGAGGAAACTCTGGCATCCAGCTCCAAACATGGAGTCAGACTTTCAAAGGGCATAATGAGCGTGAAACAGCTGCAGAGAAGTTAGGATGCCTGCAGAGTGAAATACATGTGGTGTTGTGCAATAAGATACACAAATGAGTCTATAATAGAATAATGAAAATATGCTGGGTTTATTTGTCATCAGATGAAGTATTTTATAACATGAGGCTGAAGACATCCATATGCTTCCCTTTATTCATTCATACAAGTCATATTGTTAAAAAGTCCATTCATTTCAGCAGCTTAGTTCACTAAATGAAACTCATTTCATATATTAATTAGACTCAGACTAATGTTTTCAAGCCTTTATTTGATTATTTTCTGCCTACAGTGAATAAAACATGACATGTAAAATCAAAAAAGACACAAGAACAAGTCTGATTCCTCAGACTACAAGATAAACATGTGCAAGCCAAATGTTTATGAGTTAAAATCTTGTCTTGTTAGAATGTGTCAACTGTAACATATAATGACACAATATACTACCAGCTTGTTTAAATATTGGATTAAAAATGTTTGGTTTGTGACTTATTTATTCCTTATTTTTAAAATGATGTGGACTACTTTTGGTCTGGAAGTAAAGGATATATAAATAAATAACATTTTTAACAGAAATTTTAATCAGTGAGGGAATCAGAGATTTTTCATGGAGGCACAGCAAAAGAATGAAACAAACAAACAAACAAACAAAAAACACTAAACAGGGCAATATTTTATTAAAACTAAAAATAAGAATGAAACTAAAAATAAATAAAAAACACAAAACTACAATATTTTAGTGAATCTAAAAAAGAACAAAACAATAAACAAATACAAAACTATCAAAACTAAAAAAAAAACAATAAACAAAGACAATATTTTATTGAAACTAAAAAGAAATAAATAAAAAAACACATCAGAGGTTGCAGAATCCTGAACTAGCAGATGAAAACTGCGATCCTGTCTCAATGTGGCTCAAGCTAAAAGAGTAACATCTTAATTTATAATTCATTGTTAAAGTACAACTGTGAAGGTGAAATATGAAATTGGTCCAAGGAACCAAATGGCTACGGTTTCTGTGCCAGTACATATTACCATAAGAAACTGATTTAGATATTCATCCACCCTGATGGTCTCTGTGTAGAAACTCCCAAGTATATTATAGCCTTAAAAGTTATTTCTTGATAAGTTTCATATTAATCTATAAATGAGCCTCTTTTGGTTTGTGGTTGTATTTTATGAAGCAAAGTGGTCAAGAAATGAGTAAATATGAAGATTTTAGTGAAACAGCTTCCAGATCTAAATTTAATCAATTCTATGAACAAATTAATGATGACAGGGAGATAATTATAGCTTTAAACCAAGTTAGATAGGATAAATAATTTAAAATAACTGATGTGCTATCAAAATGTAGTGAAATTGAAACTTTTAAATAAGGTTATTAGAATCACAATGGAATAAAAACAAAATACAATTAAATTTTTACACATTAAATCAAGTATTTCTGTTTGCATCTGTGAGAATGATCTTGGAGCTTTTCACACAGTTTTAAAACTTTCATGAGTTTCCATCGTCCTCCCTGATTTGAAAACCAGACATTTCCTCCATTAAAGGTACAGGAAATGAGCCAATGTGAGGGAAGCGCTTTACATGCCTGCCTGTTTCTGTGTTACCCTCATTTTCTGTTCTCCACATGTAATATTCATCTGTGTAACAACTGTTTCACCTACATTCATTTGAAACATTTCAGACATATTTGAAAATGTGTTTCATGTCTCCACATTTCAGCGGGAGCCACCACAGACTACGACAGCTACAGTGACTTCATAGAGGAAGACGACACTCCTCAGCTGGACTACAAAGGTGCAAATGTGAAACTCGTGTATAATATCTAAGGCAGCATTATTTGAGACAAATAAACCTCTCTGTGCTTTATATATACACAATGAATATGATTAAGATTTGATGGTAATAATAGTTTACATCTGCTGTTCAAAATAGCAAAATTCACATTTTGGATGTTTTTGTTGCTTCTGAAAACAATCCAAGCACTTAAAAAAAAACTTCCAGCTGTTTTTTTGTTGTCAGTAATTTAATATTTTTTGGTGTCTGGAAAACAAGCTGATTCAAAAACCTCCCAATTGTTGAGTCATAATCAAAGGGAACTGTGCTGTTACGTAGCAACCCCAGCTAAGCACAGCCAGGTTACCTAACAGCCCCAGCTAAGCCTGGCCCCGTTACCTAACAACCCCAGCTAAGCCTGGCCCCGTTACCTAACAACCCCAGCTAAGCCTGGCCCCGTTACCTAACAACCCCAGCTAAGCCCAGCCCCGTTACCTGGCAACCCCAGCTAAGCCCAGCGCTGATACCTAGCAACCCCAGCTAAGCCCAGCCCCGTTACCTAGCAACCCCAGTGGAACTCAAGCAGGTTTGCTCAGCTCTTTCTGAAAGGAGCTCAAAGCAGAACTAAGCAGACTCAAATCTCATTCTAAGAATTATTTGTATGTTTTGTATCACCATAGACTTTTCCTAAACTGTTGAAGGAAGCATAATAGATCATTTTTAAGTGATAATTAAGAAGGGTTAATATATTTCTGCTTTGGGTTTATTGAAACATGAATCTCAGATAATGAATTTTCAACAACATGTTTTTTTTTTAAATAAAGTTGGTGGTGTTGTTTGTTTTAATTCCTTAATGATTTGAACATCTTACAACATATTTTCCTTCTAAATATAACATAACTAGAGAGCCTGTAAAATAAATAATTAGCTAACAATTATTGAAGACTGACACAATAATAGTAAAAATGTTTGACCTTAGAAAACATCAAATATTAGCACATAATTAGCATGAATATCCTGTCCAATATTTACTTTGTTATTTTTGCATTAATTTTTTATTTTTCACAATTATTGAACTTTTTTTCAATATAGAAATTAAAAGTTGCTCCATTTTACAGATTTTCTAACCTTTTTTAGACTGGCTGCTTTTTCAGTTTGTTCCTTGGATTTTGGAGGAATTTTCCTAAGAATTGATAAGATGACATGTAATAATCTTCATTAGTGACAGAAATGAAAACAGAATACTAAATAATAACAACAATAAATCATTTTTCTGCTTTTCTTTGTTTTTCTCTCTTCTTCTTTGAAAGCAGACCCAAACTGGTGTCGCTCTCCACATCTGCCTAATGGTGAGGTGTCGTGCCGCTCCCCTCGCGGTGGGGCCCACCGGGGTTTGCTGGGCACCCGGTGTGAGATGACCTGCGACCGAGGCTACCGACTGCTGGGCAGAAAGTCGATTCAGTGCCTCGCCAACCGCCTCTGGTCCGGGTCGGCTTACTGCCGCAGTACGTGGACACTTTCAGTCTTTATTACCAACAATATGAATCTGAGGCCTTGTGCTCTGAATATGTTCTTTCAGTGAGAGGCCTTTTTAGAGTCTGTTTGCTCCAGTTAACGATTAATTGATGACTAAATGAGTTGACGATTATTTCAATAAATCACCATGATTAATCATTTCGGCCCTATTTTAAAACAATAAAGCAAAAAGTAAAGGAATAATCTTTTATTTGAACTTAAAGAACTTAATTCAGAGCCCTCCATTGGAAATTATCTGCATGCTGTTTCCGGTGCGTGCTACAGCTTGTCTACTGAATGCTTTAAAGTCTAACTCAGGATCCTAAAATGGATGCTGACATTAATGAGAAACCAGAGCTGGGAAACGGAAATGGTGCGACTTACGAATAGTTAGTCATGAGTCTGACAGAACAACCTGCAGGCGTTTCAAGGAGGCTTTGTTTAGACACGTGAATGATGAAGAATTTCAGTTATCCAGATGTGAAGAAATAAGAAGAGCATGAATAAGAACTTACACTTCAGACTGTAACAGAATGAAACTCATCAAACTGCCAAACTGAGGTTTGACCAACCTGACATCAGCGCCTAATTAGGCTTCATTCATTTGAGAGCTAGCAAAATGTTGTAATAACAGAAAGTTTTCAAAATGTAGCGCTTGAAATGATCATGAGATTAGAATAAGGCTGAAACGATTAATCAGATTAATCATGATTAATCTATTACTGAAATATCGTTAACTAAGTTAGTAATAGATTAATCGTTAACTGGAGAATTCAGACTCTTAAGAAGGCCATTTGATTAAGAAACGACATATTTAGATCAGTAATTAAATCAAAACTGTACAAAAATATGTAAATAATTTACATTTAGGAAAAAGAGCACCTTTATTTATAATTCTGTTTAATCCAAAACATAGTTTTAGTTCAAATTCACTAAAAGACTGGTATCGCATTCTAGGCAATAAAATGTTTATTTTGTCATTTAAAAAAGGAATTGAATTATTTATTTTCATCTTTTAATGTATTTCAAATATTGTTTAATAAAAGCTTAATAGGTTAATGAAAATCTGTAGAACGTGCCAATTTTGTATCTGATTAATTGATTAATCATCAGAATAATTGATTACTAAAATAATCGTTTGTTGCAGTCTTAAATTAGAATAAATAAACAAGACAAAAACATAATTTCAGAGCTTGAGAGGTGCTGCAGGAGGAAATAGGCTACAAATAATATTTTCTGGTTGAAATTTGATTTGTAAATCATACACTTCAAAAACAAAATCTTATCAAGTATTTCTGGTTTAGGTTTTAGTCCAAATATCTTATTACACTTGAATTAAAACAAAAATAACTTAAAAGGGACGATCCAGCAAAATATAAGAGCGTGTTTTGAATCAATTATTTCTTAATATTGATGAAAATTTGCTTTTCTATTGGCAGATTATTTCACTACAAACCAAGTAAAATAATCTGCCAGTAGAACTAGAACTTTTAAATCAGGGGTGTCAAACTCAATTTCACCGAGGGCCACTTCAGCATATTGTCCCCCCTCAATGGGCCACATTGACGGTACAAATCAGGAGAGCATCCCTGCTAAAACACCCCAGACAGAAGGCTGACTTCCCTCATTCAGGTCTGTAGAGGCTTATAATGATTCAATGGTCCAGGTGTGTTAGAGAAGGAATCCATCTAAAGCTGCAGATGGTAGCTCTGGAAAACTAGACTTGGGCAGCCCTAGTATAAATGTATAAAAATACAATGTTAAAAATAAATGAAACACCTCATATTGTTAAATAACTGATTTTATGTATTGAAGTTTTATATATTGCATTTGAGTTTCCATGGCCTATAAAGTGCTTGGGGGCCACGAGTTTGACACATGTGCATTACGCCATTGAACTGCCAATTGGTAATTGAAGTAAAGTAGCTTCGATTTCAAAGAAGCCGACATGGAAGTCGATTGGCAAATGAACCATCACAAAAGAGGAAGGCTCTTGTTGTCTCACTGCACCCCAAGAGATGCATAACCTACAAAAACTGTTTCTGTCTGGTTTTGAACCAGAGACCTTTTGCATGTAAAGCAAACGTGATAACCACTACACTACAGAAACTCATGCTGTTTGTAGTGTTCCTGGTAGATGATCTACATTTTGTTAGAGACTAATAACGAGCATGGAATGATGTCAAATACCACAGATCCTCTCAGAGAGCACAGTAACTTGGTGAACAA